TATGATCGTCATAAAATGTCGCCCCTCTTGAAATAAACTAATAAATTTTATTTTTGAATTTCGGAATAATTTAGTAGATAATTGTGTTTGTTTGAAATTTCGAACGGATAATTTGAAACAGCTTGCGCCTAAATAAAGAAAACGAAAATAAAATTAAAATTAGAAATATCATCAAAGTTTGCGATACATAATAACATTGACATTGCCAGTTGGTTTCCAGTAAATAATCAAAGATGTTATGTCATCGGATAGAACGATGATAGAAGAACTGTAACAAAACTGAGAAATATATATACGCGTTGTACAATACACGCGTGGGTGTAATTACTTCCTACACAAAAATCTCTCATTTGATATTACTGAAATGATGAATTTTATCTCGAAACATCTTCTTTCTGGAAATGTAGCATCTTCTTCGATTAGCATTTATATTGGAACTATTCTTTTCTCCATTTTACAAGGATTATAAAGTTGTTATAATTTTTCTGATTAATTATTCAGAAAAATTCTATTCTTATATCCTATATTAATATTACATATGAATATTCTATTTTAAAAGTTAAGTTCAGTTAAGTTTTCAAGTTAAATTTTTCCTTTACTAATATTGCATTCATTGGTAAATTTGTTTTTAATAGTCTTATAATAAACTTGTGAAAGTATTTGAAAACGATGATAAAATGAATTTTGTAATGTGTTTTCATTCTAAAATTTATAGAATAAGAAAAACTTCTAAGAAAAATTAAAAGCATTTTGTGGTAATTACAAAAATACAAAAATAATTTTTATCCAATTAGATTAGTAATCCAACATACATGTGATCATCTTCTATTAGTATCAATTGTATGTCTGAGAACGTTGGCGCCACATAACTTACACATGTGTGTATAATATATAAGCTTAACTCAATACATAAGTACAAATTGTTCGTTGGCTCTATTTATACTTATTATATTTTTTTATATTGTACATATTACTTTTTTTTTTTTTTTTTTTTTTTACGATTTTTAATATATTTTTTTCTTTCAATTATTCAATTACTATATATTATATCAAATAAAATTGAATATTTTATGAGTAATTTTTTTCATTTGTTTAATAATTTGTTTCCAATAAATAAAATTTAGAATAATTAAAATACATCAATTTATATTTTAGAAATTAGAAATTGGAATGTGAAAGTGTGATAACAGCTATATGATTTCAAATATTTGTAGAAAAGAATAATGAACAACAATTTTCATTTTTCTTTTTCTTTTTTTTTTTATACACATAACTTTTTAATATTAATTATATTTTGATTAATAGCATATGGAAAAAACGTAGATACATCTTTCATCTTGATTTTTTATATATCTGATGACTTTCAATTAAAATATTCAATAAAAAATACATCGTATTGTAATCGTATTGAAAGAGAAACTAACCCTCGATTAATTGAAAATGTTCAATGTACTTGATAAAAGTACACATAATTAAAATATTATACACATATAGTTTCGATATAAAAATTCAAACGGTTAATCTTAATTCAAATTAAATTTGAATTATTCGTGAAACAATATAAACGATTTCATTTCGTGTCGTCGACCTTTCCTGTTCACGATCGATACTTATCATTTTGCGAAGAACAAAGTTCATATGTAATAGCTATGCGATTTGTAATTATAACGATCGACGATTGTTTTATAAACTGTATATGCACTTATAGCGCATCATAAAAATTTCAAATTATAAATTTATTTATGTTTTTTTTTTTCTTTCATATGAATATAAAATTCTCAATTTTATATGGAATTTATCTAATCAATCACGTATTCTATTCTAACTACTATTATATATCAATTATTTTATTCCATGATTTTTTAAGGAAATTTATCATTAAATATCTTTTTACTATTTACATATGCTTTTATATATGTGTATGTTCATTTTGTTGTCCAATGTTTTTGGACATCGAGATTTCAATGATGAATTTTGCAAATAAAAATTAAATTGTACAAAATCTGATAAATATAGCGAATGAAATAAAACAACTTGATCAAATTTTTATTGTGATATTGTATCATTGAAAATATATCATCTGTTATTGCAATAGGAAAAAAAACTCCTTTTTGATTAATATTTTTGAAAATGATATAAAGATCCTACGGTATATGGATCTCAATAATGTACAAAAACGAACAATATTTAACAACATTTTTAAGAAATTATTTTTAAGAAATGTATAAAATTTATTATATAATTTACTTAAAACTCGAACATATCAAAATATGTTTCAAATGTTATTTAAGGCATCGTATATAAAAAATAGTAAGAAATTTAAGTTTTAACATAAATAATAATTATTGTACAGAATCTGTAATTTTTCAAAACACTTTAAAATTTATATAATATTATTATTAATAATCATGCATGGTTAAAGAATTAAACGTATAATTCGACGAATCAATGAAATATATGTTGAAATGTTGATTTCGAAAATATTTCGAAAATTTATTGATGATTGCATTAGATTTGCCTATGGAATGAATCTGTTTTCGTAAAAGAGCGTGGCTCGCAAACGAATAAAGGCTCGAATAAATTGGCGTCTCTTTAGAGTCTGCAGGGGGACGGGTAACGATTGAATGTTTAATCGAGCAAGCTTTTAGAGCATGAAAATTTATACTGACGTCAAGCTTCATACATTCTCGACTGTATGTTGGATCGCCAATTATTGCTCTATCCGGTCGCGATAGTTTGTCACAACCGGTTGACATCCTGTTCTTCGACGCCCTTCCGTTCCTTCCATTTTTTTACGAAGATTAATAATCGGAGGGAAAACAGGTATCTACGTGTCATATGTATAATTTTTGATTTCTTTCTGTTATTTTTATTATTAATTTTTTTTATCGTTACTTTTAATTTTCATAACATAAAATTCATTCCATAATTTCTTGGTGCAAATGTTAAACGTGTGAGAATCATATTTGTCAAGAGTGGATACATTGAAATAGAGAAAAAGATTACGTCTCTTCTTTCTTAAATAGTTACAGTTTAGGGAATATGTCATATTCTAATATTCTATAGTTTATATTTGATTTTTTAAGAATTATGACTCATCGTTGTATTTCACAGTAATTTTCCTTTATAATAAAGAATGACGAAAAAATTATTTGTCATTTCAAAATGAACACCCGTAATAATATTCCATAATAATAATTATTATGATAACATTCATCAAATGTGTATAATATATATATTCATTTTAATTTTTAAAAATTATTTCCAACCAACTCTGGAATACAATACATCTTTCAAATATCCTCTGTTACTAATTTTAGAATAGTTTTAGAGCCTTTTTTAAATTGTGTTTTATTATTAAAATATGAATGAAAAAATTTTTCAAGTAAGGAAATTTTTATTAACATTAATGTGGTAGCTTTTAATTTTTAATATAAGCAATTTTTGTTGTTTTTCACTCAGTTCATATTCTTTTTATGATAAATCTCCCATGTATTTGAAAAATATCTCTGAAAAAAATAAAGTAGATAAAAATTTAAAAAATTAAGATTTTATTTAAAATTATTTAAATATTATCTATTATTATTATCTATATCAACTTTTTATCTTCATCCTTTAATTTTTATCATATTACATTACATTGTTATCATATTACGTTATTCTGACATATAGATTAAATAAAAAATAATATTTCTATATAGATAAGAATTATCATTATGCATATATATATATATTTGTGATTATAATTGATATACATATATGACATAATAGTCCAAATTACAGTCTACTTTGATTATCTATACACATATATATATGTATATATATATATATGTATCAAATAATTAATACTGTTTATCGATTTCTAAATTTTCTTAGAATTTATATTTTTTTTTGCATTTTATTTTATTTCATTTGCATTTTGCATGTAATTTTCATTTATTTTAAATCAATTCTTTTAAGCGAAATAAAACAAAATATGTAAATATAGTATATAAGCATAATAAGTAATCTTGAATTTAATTTTAATGGGAAAACATTATAATCGATACTTAAAATTTATAATGATCAATTTGGGTTATATATGAATCTGAACACTCGATACAGGCCGATGTATAAAACAACTGAATGATCCCTTTTATATGACGAATCGTCGAGTATGCAATCCATAAATTGATTCGAATCGTCGTCGTTCGTCGAATCTCGTCGCAATGAAAATCCCTGACAAATGCTTATTTGTGCGCATCCTGTCCGCGCACAAACCGTGCATCGAAAGAACAGCCATGTTTATAATTTGTATTTAATTTTCCTCTAGAAGATCGATATTCGATATATCAATAATAATCGATAAAATATTAAGGCGAATACGAACAAGTCGTATTTGTCTAATATTTCAAAAGTATAGGTGCATGCATTTAAATAAAATTATTTACGTACGTGTAAAACCGTGTGTAGAACACATTTGAAATATATTAACTTCATGTCTGGATGCGTGCATCTGATGCTTCTAAAAATTCACTAGACTTTGGTTACTTTCTTCCATCATCAAGATCCTATAGTCCAAAAAAAAAATGAAACACTTAATAATCAGAATCAGAAAAATATAAAAGAAAAAATTATATATACATAATTATATAGAATTTCAGTAATATATATATATTATATTATAATAAGAATTAACATGCAACTTTTGTATAAAATATTTTTATATATAACAAGTAGTTTACGAGTCGAAATCATGATATTATTATTTATTATTATTTATAAAATTTATTTTTATAAATCTTTGCTAATTGCAATCGAATGGAATCGAAAATACGAAAATGATGTTGAAAAAAATGAGTATGATAATTGACAATTCGAATTTCATTTTGATATAAAAAATTTTTATATGTCTTTTTCTATGTCACGAAATAAAATGGAACTTATATTTTTAAAATTTTGTATAAAAATATTTGAAAAAAAATTTGAATTAAAAATTGATATGTGTTTAATGCTTTCAGAACAATATCATTATGAATTGGAACATATCGGACAATCATCGCACGAAGATGGGCCTGTTGAATTCTCATTTGTATTCAATAATGATATGATCGATCATGAAGAAGCATTAGAAAGATATCGTCGAGCAGCGATTAATGAGAATGAGAAAGTTCCTTCCGAGTCAACTCCACATGAACAACAACGGCAGCAACAAGCTGCATTGCAGCAGCCATCTTCACAGTCTCAATTGCAGCAACAACAATCGCAAACAGTTGTGAATGCTTCAAATACACCAATCAATGTTTCCTATTTGACGGATTATACGACAGAATCATCAATTGCAACACCATCTTCATCTTTGACTACAGTTTCGACCGGCGAAAAGGAGATTGTAATGACTTCTGCAGTTCCAATGAGCAATCAAGAGACTTCGACATCGATATACTTTCGAAAGAATTCTTCGACCAAAGAATCGGTAAGATTTTTGATTCTTATTTAAATTAGATTTCAATAAATATTTTGCATTTGTAATTACATATATGATGAAATAAATAATCGATGAACTAAAAATAGAAATTTAGAATCATTTTGCGTATAATAATTGCAATAAATGCATTTTGTTTTTTTCTAGGTTCCATTTGTAGATTTTCAAGGTAAGTCTAATTCCACGAATGACACAATCGAAAGTAAAAAACAGACTAAAGGTACAGAAACTGTGGTAGAAACTACGAACAATAAAGATGATTCTGATGGTAATATTGGAGAAGTATCCATCGACAAGTTTTCAGACTTAACCAACAAGACTTTATCCCAACACAATATCACAAAAACTGAGTATGACACGCATCAATATTACAATAGCACATTTATCGTCGATGAAGCTGTGGGGAAAAAATATTGGGTGGATATAAACAATCATCCAGATTTGAAAGTCAATTATTTGCTCAGTCAGAGTCATCGTCGAGCTGCGGTAAGAGTATAATTTACATATAACTATCGCTATTTTACATGTATATTCTGCATTTCAATTTTTATTAATGTTACTTTCTTTTCGATCTTTTTACAGACAGTTAAATTGAAATTCGATTTTCCTTTCTACGGTCACAAAGTTCGTAACATCACCATTGCCACTGGAGGATTTTTATATACTGGTGAATATGTTCATAGTTGGTTAGCTGCCACGCAATATATTGCACCGTTGATGGCGAATTTTGATACTCGATTATCGAATGATAGTTTCGTGAAATATGTTGACAATGGTAAGCATCAAGTAAATAATGAATTATAATTTTAGATAATAGATAAAATGCATATAAATTTATAGACAAATTTTAAACAAATGAAAATATTAATTATAGGAACAGCATTTACAGTCGTATGGGAAAAAGTTGTATTGCAAGATAAACCTGATGCAGGAGCATTCACCTTTCAAGTGACCTTACATCAAAATGGTGACATCGTGTTCGTATATTCTGTGATACCATTGATGGTTGAACATATTGAAGATACGGCCCATCCTGTTAAAGTCGGTCTTAGCGATGCTTATATCATGGACAGAATAGTGTTTTGTGAATATCTGATTTTATTTTATTTTAAAGATTTTATCATAATAAACAATAATAAAATCACTTTTTTTTTCTGTTTACAGTTGTGCGCAGGAAAACAATTTATGAATATCATCGCGTAAACTTTAATCGGCAAGATATTAAGAATTGGACAGTAATTTATCTAAATGCATTACCTACCTGTTTAGAAATGGATAATTGTAGAGATTGTTTGACAAAGTTGAAAGGTTTCGAATGTAAATGGTGTTCAGAACTGAATCAGTGTAGTACCGGAACTTTCAGATCGCGACAAGATTGGCTTTTAAATGGGTGCGATGTTCGTATGATAAAAGAAGTTGACAATTGTCCATTGCCAACTACAACGTGCAAGGAACACATCGAAGAATATAATCATGCTTTACGCATGCATTCAGAAGAAACTGTTACTGTTAGTGAAATGAATGTGAAACAGGAAAAACCTGGAACGAGTCCCCTAGAGCGTTGTAAGATTTCAATTTATATATTATTTTAAAATAATTAATTATTAATGCAATAATATTTTTTTTTATATTTTTAGCTCAAGACAATATGAATATGGGAGTATCGGGAATTATTGGAATTCTTCTTGTAATTAGTTTAATTGTAGGTTTAGCTGCGTGGGCCGCATATGCTTATCGTAATCCTCATAGTACATCTGGACAAATGTTAATTAGGGTAAGATTGATAACATTTAAGTATTGTAAAAAAAAAAATAATAAGCATATTTGTATATAAATAATGATATTAATCTAAAATAACATTTTTATATAAATGTTTTTTTATTCTTTGAATATATTTGAAAATAGTATCGACCAAGTCAATGGAGCTGGCGGAGAGGAGAAGCTCGTTATACGGCAGCAACGATTCACATGTAAAAACCATGTAATCGAAATGCAGTCAACAATTAGTATAGCACTGTCGGACCAAACTTCCTATTAAATATACTCTATATCAAGTCTGCAAGTTCATCTATGGAATCGTTTTTCTGTAACGATGCATGTATCGCTTTATTAATTGCCATATATTGATACATAAGATCTATTTGTTGATATTAATCTAAAATAACATTTTTAATTATTATTAATATATTTATACTGAACAAAATATAATTATGTTGGAAAAATTAATAAGTATTTCAAATTGTAAATTATCTTAAACTTATAACATTAGTTTTTGAAAAATGGCAATTAAACCATTAATGACAAAAATATAGAGGAAACTTTTAAAGTGACCTTCACTCGGCGGGCGTAATAATAATGAAAGTTTATTGAAGTTTTAAATTTTGTACAGTAATATTAATGTTATAAAAATACGTAAAAATGAGTTTATTATTGTTTGTGAAAATACTGAACTGATCTTTTACAGCGCATAATTTCTCTAAAGTTTTCTTTCGAAGTAAGTCACTACAACGCAATATTCGAAAGTTAAAACATTTCTAGAGCATAATGAACAGTGAGAGACGAACGGAGACTGGTATTACTTTACTGGCTGTATGAAAATATTTGTCACGTTTTCTAAGTCGAAATAATTGTATTGTCGAAAGACGGGCAAGAAATCCTTTTCCTGGATGTAAAGCGTTTATGTGATTTTAGTATCATGTGGTATACTTTGTTATTGTTTAAGAATTCGTTTTTTATCGTTATATAAAGTCCAGTAATTGTTTATACATATAAATATATATTTATATGTTTATATGTTTATAAATATATATTTATACATATGTATAATTTTTGCGTCGTAAAGAAAAATATTTTAATAAAAATCTATTGATCTGACCTAGCCTGTAGAAACTACAGTTCAAATACATAAGAATGAAATTTTTAATCAAATTTTCAAATTTATTTAGATAATTTAATCATAAAACAAACATATGATTTTTTGTTAAACTCATTTTCTTCTTTTATTAGTGGTACATTCCAAAATATACAATCCCTTCCCATAATATATAATAAAATAATATATCTATGAACTGTAGTTTCATTTTTAAAATTTTAAATACATGTATATATATGTACGTATTGATACATACATGTATATACATATATATATATATATATATAAAATATATAAATAATTATATAAATATATTTTATGAAAAGATTTTTAAATATATGAGCACCTAACTTAGATACATAAGAAGGCAATGTGAAAAATTCATTTGTAACATTAGATCACCAGTGTATATAGTAGTATATTAAAACGATATAATTTTTATATGATTGTAACTATAATTAATATCGCGAAAGGTGCCCTTAAATAACTTTTTGATACATTTATTGGCAATAAAATATATTAAGTATTTTCCTCATATTGAAGATTATCATTATACAAACTTTTTATAATTAATGATAAAAAAATTGTTAAAAATTACATTAATTTAAAAAGTAGCATGATTTTTTTTTAAATAAAATTAGTTTATAAAAATCATTAATTTTTCTCACATTATTGTATATGATTTAACTAATAGTTTGTGATAATAAATATTATAATTATTATGATAAATATGTTTTAATTTCATATATATTTCTTTATGTATAATAAAATTATATTTATGATTTTGAAAAAAATTATAGTTATGATTTTTCACACGCATTTATGGAAGTTAAATATTTTCACGTTTTTTAGTGTTTCATTATTGTTCTCATTTCTTTTAGTACTTTGAGTGCTGAACGAAATATAACTTTTCAATTTTTAATATATCGTGTTTATTAATAATTATTATTTATATAAATATAATAAATATTATTATATTATATATTATATCGATACTATTTTAAGTTTTTGCTATATCGATATTTTGCAAAATCTTATTAAAAGTTATTTGATATCGTAATTTTACTAGTAAAATGGCGGCTTTCGCAAAAGCTGTGCAAGTTTCCAAAGGTGTAAATAATGTGACAAAACTATTTACAAATTTAACTTTATCACAAAATGTTAATTCAGTTTCTATTCCGATATTTATTCCAAGGTTTTTATGATCTATTTTGTATATTTCATTTACAAAATTATTTTAAATTCAATAAGAGGTTATATATTCTGAATGATTTTTTTATTATTTAGCATAAATATCAAGATAAATGTAACAAATATTTATAAATTCTTATATATTTATAAATTATTTATAAATTCTTTATATTTAATAATACTTTATATTTTAATTAATAATTTTTATGAATCTATATTTTATAATTATATTTTATAATATTTATAAGGTTAATACAAAAATCTAATATAGGATGCCTACTTTTCAATGTGCATTCATTCATACTACATTTAAAAATAATGATTTGATGGAATTTTTTGATGATCCAAAAAATTGGGAAAAGGATAAAATACGTGTAGGACGTTCATGGCGAAAAGATGAACTACGATTAAAAAGTAATGAAGAACTTCATAAATTATGGTAAGATATGAATATTATAAAATACAAAATATATAAATCATATTAATATTAATAAGAATTGAATTAAAAATTTTAAGGTTTGTATTATTAAAAGAACGCAATATGCTTTTAACTATGGAAGAAGCTTATAAAGAAGAATGGAAATATTTTCCAAATCCTGAAAGAATTGATAAAGTTGAAGATAGTATGTCTAATTTAGAATCTGTAGTACGTGAACGGAACAGAGCATATCATATGCTTGAGACTGGAACAACTGGAGAGCGACCTGCAGAACTCAAATATAATGCTCTTGGTAAAATATTTTATATATATATATGTTGTAAAATACACAAAAAATTCCAAACAAATAAACTATATTTGAATTTTCTATATAGGTATACGTTCTCTTTATCGTTTGCGTCAATATTCTATACCAAAATATATGAATTCTGCATGGCATAAAAAACACCAATTTGGATATGGTGGATATGCAGTTCGTAAATTTTTACGACTGTACAGAGAAAAACTTTGGAATGAAAAACGTAAATTACGAAAGTTTGTATCGTTTTATATCTATAAAATATTTTTTAAAATTATATTTTTTAATAGATCTCTTTAAAATATTATTAATTTTTTTAGTCGCCAAAATAATCAAGTGGCTACTTTGATTAGAATTTTCCCCAATCTTGATATGGAAGCTGTGAAAGAACAATATCCATTAGCAAATATAGAAAAAATAAAACGAACTAGAAAAGCAGATGGACATTATATACACGACTAAATATATTTCTTTTATTGTATAATATTTCTAGCATTTTAAATATATATTAAGATTACGCAAAATATTTTAAGTTTGACAATATTAGATAATATTAAAAAATTAAATTCATATTATATTTTTACAACGAATATTTCAATATATATTATAAATAATTTAATAATTTTCAGGTCATCAAAAATTGCATTATTTTTATTTGCATCTTTATCAGAATTATTTAATTCATTATCACAATTGTTGATTGTATAATCTTACAACAATGTTTAATTTTTCTAATATTATATAATTGTATTTTAGTACTTAAAAAATTAAAAAAAAAATAATTTAGGAAATAGAGAATTGTTAATATAAATTAATATTATAAAAGTATATACTCATTGAATATAGTGATTAATTAAATATTTTTGAATGTATATATATATATGTATACACACATATATATATTTTCATTCACCACAAATATGCATTTAGTTAAAATAACTGCTACATAAATGTATAAACAAGTTGTAATTATGTAGAAGAATTTATTATAATAAAAGTAATGTAAAAGGTTTGAAATATTATTATACTCTCTTTCACTCTTTCTTGTTTAGATACAATTTAGATTCAAATTTTATTTATAAGAAGAAAGAATGAGATAAGTTTTTACTTTTATTTTGTTACAATTTTATTTCTATATATATTTTTGTTTGTGACTTTAAAGAGTAATATTGGCATTGTGCAAAAATTCCATGTAACATTTAAGAAACATGCTTAAAGCACGTAAAATTTATAACATCTTTTTTCTTAAACAATAGAAAGTAATAATATATTAATTATATTCGAATTTTTATTATATAATATGCGCAAATTTCATATTAAAATTGCATACATTATTAAATTTTATGAATGCTTTATCACAATTGTACATGAAACGAATTAATTACATGAATTGACTACATGAAATGATGTATATAGAATTAGAATTTTATTCACAATGATTTACAGATTGTATCAATTCACATAGTCCTTAATAATAGAAAAGATATAAGATATGTTAAATTAAAAATAAATGAATTTGTTCGTTAAATCATAACGCATAATTTTCGAATAAGAAGAAATTTCTTTGGCATGTAAAACTATTTCTCCTATTAAAAATCATCATTGATATTTAAAAAAAAATGTGCCATTTTAATTCTTCTTGATATTTAATTTAATAATTGCGCAAAATATAACGCCGTGATAATAAAATAAAATATTAATTATTAATATTTAAATATTGAGTTAATGAATAAAAGCACCTTGAATATAATGTGGCAATATATTCAATAATTCATTTTTAAAAAGTTAAGAATATAAACAAAATTTTAACAAAAACAAAATTTTTAAATCACTAAATATATACTTACATATATATACACACTCACACATACATATATATGTATAAACAAAAAATATAAAAAATAAAATTAAGAAGGTGTTATTATCATTATTATCAATATTATTATTAGTAGGAATGTTAATTATATGTCATACACTTACTTTAAAAGCAATTTATAGAATGTTCTTTCATTACAGAAGCTGCACTAAGCCTTAATGTTATTTTATTAATATTATTTTATTAAATCTATCATTTGGTATCTATAGTGCACTTTCAAATGCAGATTAAATATGATTATATAGACATCCATGTTAAGTGACACAGTGATTTTTGATGCATTCATCATAATATATATTACAGTCCTGTGTGCTGTTATCAATGATAAATACTATAGTTTATACTATTAAAAAGATATTGCACCATTTTATTAAATTAGCACATTGACATTACGTGTTACTAAATATTTATACTTTAGTTATATAATCTTTTATATTTTATCACTCTTGTGTCGAGGAACATAGAGTGTTAATTTTGTGTGATTATTTGTTTATAATATAATATTCGATTTTATCGATTGTTGTAATATCTGTGTTGTATGAGTTCATCAAATATTTATATTTTATCAATTTCTATTCCTGAATAGAATAATACGATAACTATTGTCTATCGTTACACGTTATTATTTAATCAATTATTGAAGGTAATAAATATTGCCATGCAAGTTCTAACTCTTTACTGGCATCTGAGCAACGTCGATGAAGCTTATCTTCTGGCGGAAGCGTCATCATAGGAAATTCACCCTGAAAAAATACAAATTTTTCAAAATTACATATAAAATATATAATCAAAAATATTTTTTATTTTTGTATTAATAATTTTACAACAATTAAAAATAAAAAAATTCATACCAAACTTGCATCAGCCCACAATGTTTCTAGAATTTCTCTAAAGGTACATAATTCTGTATAATTTGTAAAATATATGACCCAATCACCACTACTTTCATGTACTTCTCGACATGCAAACTCCTGAAAATATTGTATAAAAAAAATTATAGAATATTAAAGATGTTTATAATTTTAATTACATACCAATATACACCAAGATTGTTGTGTTAATGGTACTCTGAAAGCTGTGAGGTCTTCTACAGAAGCACAAGAAAGCGTTTGTCCACGTTGTTTGCCAGGAAATACTTCTTTCATAGCTACTAAATGTTTAGTAGTTGTAATAAGGCTACATGGCAATGGTTCTCTTTTTTCTGAAATATCGAACAATCCAGAGGCGCTTTGAACGAAACTTTGTAACCATTCTGATGCAACATATTCATCTGGAGCGGCAAATTGAAAGGCCTTATTCGGTTTTAAGAGTATTTCAAACGTATGAGGACGATGAGAATTGGGAATTCTTCGACATCCTTGACAAAGACCACCTTTCAATGGAATGGCTCTTTTTGGTAATCGTTGACTTGCATCCGTAAACATATAAACAACTCCACCTTTAAGAACAAAATATCCAGCTTCCCATGGATTAGTTGGAGCATTAGGATGAAGTTGTTGATATGTATGTGGTCTATACATAAGATCACCTTCTTTTGTTGGACCGCATGGCGTGCTAGGTGGTGACATATGTTCATCTTCTATATAAATAAGATTGTAATGTTCAATCTTTTCATCCTAAAATATAAATTGCATTAATTTGTAAAAAAAATTAATTCTTTTTAGTATTTCAATACAATAATATATACATACAGAATGAACAGCAGTATCACAAAGAAGTGATTGCCTTAAAATATGCATATCTTCATAACTTAATACTTTAACAGCTGGAAGCCTCGGTTTTATCGGAGATCTCCTTATAGCCATTTCTAAGTGAGAAATTAATTCTGAAGTAGTTTGGGAACTTCCCGTAGAAAATAAATATTGCATCTCATAATCTGCATTAGATAATAATATTGTTTGTGCATTTGGTCCAATCTAAAAAATATATATTTTTAATATTTAAACTTTATAAATATAATATTATTTATTATAACATAATATTTTTTATTGTGAGCAATTTACCATTATAACATCCAATTCGTTATAAGGAATAACGAATTGATTACTATAAGTATGATCTACTTTTGAACCTGTTAAATATAATGTTTTATCAGTTAATAAAGCGATCATTGGTTTACTTTCTCCATTTGTCATATATGAACTTCTAACTTTATATACTTTATATAACTCTTCTGTTTTGTCTCTATAAATATGTTTCTTAAATAGTTCTCTTAATTTTAAGCTAATTTTTTCTCCACTAAATTCTTGTTTTTCCGCTGCTACGTTTTCTTGTATTTCTCGATCCAGATTATCATTAAATTCTTTAAAAGAATCATAAGTTGTTTTAATACCTGTGATATATAAAGGATTCGTTTTTTGTGATTTTTTACTTCTTTTAACTTCAAATTTTCTCTCGGTAATAGATTTTAAAAATCTACTCAATAATGATGTTTTAGATGGAGCTTGTCTTAAAGATGGAGTCAATAATTTGTTGCTATTTTCTCCCGTTAATATTGATGTAATGTTACGTTTCTTTGATGGGGAAGCTAAATGTCTACTATTTCTACGTTCTTCTACATCTGATGTAGTAGTACTATCAACGTCTGACCAATCGCCAGAATATTTTTTCGAATTAGATGGACAAGGCATTTGAACTTTTGCTGGAGGATCTTCTATGATATTTCCATATTCTTTTTCAACAATATATGCTTCTTGTGCTTCATTTTCTTTTAATTCAATTTCCATTTTCGGTCTAAGTGCTTTTCCAGGATCTTCTTGACCTTCTGGAGTACCTCGTTCTAAAAGTGATAATCCACAAGCACATTTACAATTGTTCTGACACGGTAATTGTTCACAAATCTTTGGCGATCCTTTTTTTTCACAATCGCTATCAAATGTACTCGATGATGAAGAATAGGAATAATAATCTGAATGTACATTTCTGGAATTAACATTCTTTTGAATATAAGGAGAATCTCCATGAGCACACCAACTATATCTTCCTTTTTGTGTATCTTTTTTTTGAATTGAATTAGGTTTTAGAAAACTCATAGAAAAATCTGCATAATTTTCATCATCATCCAATTTCATAGTTTTTAAGATATCTTCATGAAAACTAACGCGTTTCTTACTTTCTCCGCGTTTTTTTTTACGTTGTCTACGTTGTACTATAGCTTCTGAGCTAGAAGATGATAAAATACTAGCATCAATCATATTGATAGTATTCAAAATACCATATGGAGGTTCTATGTTTTCGCAATCTGAAATGGTCATACTAAGTTCTAAGAGATTTGTATCATTATTGATTACATATGAATTTCGAGGATCAATATTCTTTTAAAGCTGTAACCACCATCGTTATAATACGTAGTTCTTTTATTTAAGTCTTTAACTCCGTTATCATTTTTACTACTTAATTTATCTAACTTTGACTCATCTAAGCTCTTACTGTAAAAATCATAATCTTTTAAAGTATCCAAACTGGAACAGTTAAGCTCATTATCATCAAGTTTTCTGGTTAAATTTTGATTTGCTATATCGCTTTTTGTCATTATGGTTGTTTGAAATTTGGTAACTATTCCAGGTGATTGAGTAGGTGTTTTTCCATCTTCACTAGAATCACTGGAACTGAAATTTTTATTGTCTTCTATACAGTTATTCATTATTGTTTTATATCTATTATTCCGATACCTCGGAATTTCTTCCACATGAAAATCTTCCTAAAAATATGAAAAAATATATAATTTAATATTTCCTTATTTTAAGGAAAATATTAATTTAAAAGTATACCTCTTTATAACTACTAGCATCTGTTTCATTAGCAAGATCCATGTCACTATCAAAAGCAACTCCACTATCACCTGGAGAAGCCAGACTTGAAGAAACACTGGAGGATCTGAGATGTAATGATAATATAGTTCCAGAAGGATTTACACTCATAGGTCTTTGAGGCATGTAATTACAAATATCCAGATATGTGACATCCTATATTAAAATAATTAAAATTTACTTTAATATGAAATAATAAGATGAATGATTAAAATTAATGGTCTACTAAGTTTTAATAAATAAAATTAAATATAATTAATAATTCCTTAAAAGTATAATTTTTAAAAATAATTCTATAATAATTTTATCATTATGCATAATATATGCTTCATCAATGTCTTTCTTATTATTCTGAACAACTTTCAAAACTTAAAATGAAACAAATATTGTAATTATATCTTTATACATATATGATTTCATATATTCTTCTTTTTTATATGAATTCCTAAATTATATTCATCAATATTCTAATTTAAATAATTTAATTTTTGATCTCTTTCATTTGATTATTTAACATTCTTATTATTTTTTTATTACCTTTTATTTTTGTATTAATTTAATACAAAAATTAATACAATAAATAAAATTAATATTATATATTATATTATTTTAAATAATATTATATATTATATTTTAAATAATTCCTTATATTTTTGCATATTATAATTGTTTGGTAAATATATCTCTAAATTTTTACACAAAGAAATTTCTATAAACAAGAGACAAAATATAAAATGAAAAAAAAAATGGATTCATATGATAACTTATTGTTCTTAAATTCACAAAAACAAATTCATCTCTTTTTAAATATCAAACATAATTTATTGTTGAGATAATTGTAACCAGTGATATATTGTGGAGTGATATACTGATATCAATTGCGAATATAAAATAAAAATTATAAAACATATTTATGTAAAATGCTGATGACTATATAAATTAATATATCTTTGATTTTTATATTTTATAAAATGTGTGTGTATAAAATGTAAAATACAAAATATAAATACTAATACAAAATATATGAAATATTAATGTTTTGATATATCTAGTAGAAAAATAATATTATAATAAATATTAATAAAATCTTATTAATATTTCATACAATAATTCTACATACCAGTTGCAATGTGAAAGACACATTTTCTAAACCAGCAAGAAGATTAACTAATTGATTAGTTTTATCTGCATCTCGAACGAGTGCATGTGGAAAATATTGTTTTTTTAATGTTTTTGTATCTCGTAATAAGCAAGCTAAATAACTTTCAAAGCTGCCTTCACTAAGAGTGTGATAAAGCCATGCCCTGCCTAAAAAATATAAAGATGCATTATAATTTGTTCTTATAACCTTAAAATTTATAATATCAATTTTTTACCTTTTCCAATGGAAGTTAACACACTCTGAAGAGCATGAATTACAACAACAGTATCTTGATGACTAAGTTCACGAGCTGTGCCCCAATATCCATGTCTCTCTACACGTAATCCATGGCGTAAAGCTCTATCTAACCAGTAGACCAACCAAGAATCACCATCTAAGACTACTGTGCCATATAAACTTTGAGCATAAACCTAATAAATACAAATAAAAATGTCATGCTTATTAAGTTATAAAAAATTAATATAATTTTATTGAGTAACTTTCAATATTAATTCTAATGTGTAAATTTAATTAAATATGTTATTTATATTTATATTATAAATTAAATTTTTGTCAATGTATGAAAAATTATTTTTCGGATTAAAATTTTTCGGATGAAGATATTTAGTCTAAAAAATAATTAGATATCTTAATAATTATTTCTCATAGAGAAATATAACAATATTTATATTTGTTAATAACAAATATTTGTTAATATTTGTTAATTTTATATTTGTTAATAATTATTATCATTATGAATATTAAACAAAAAAATAAAATATTAAACGTCCAATAATTACGATATCAACAATAACGAATAATAAAAATTAAAGTGTTAAAATTTTATTGTTTTGTGAAAATATGAAATAATTCATAAGATGACAATTTCAAGATTCATCGATCCCCCCAAGGATCTCACAGAATAATAATGAATTAATATAATTGACTGACAATTATACGAACAAAGAGGTAAAGGCACGTACGTCAGTGGAGGAGTCACGACGTGGAACAAGATGTTGAGTAAGTTGCAAGTGAGAAACGGGAAATCGTGATGACGAGAGGAGCACATGTACTTCTTCAACACAGGTTCGCGCGTTCAAAAACAATAAAGATAATAAAACTCATTTAACTGTTAAATATTTGACGCACAACCGAGCATGTAAGTGCATGTCACTTCAGTTTCAGCTGTTTCGTTATGGTTAAGTATTTTAAGAAAGTCGTTTTTATCTGCGAGGAAAAAGGAATGAAAATCTATCTCAGTCATTTAAGAAGAATTTCATAGGAGAGTAGAACGTCAATAGTTCGATAAATATCAAAATTCGAGAAAGAAAAGTACATATATATATATATGTATACAGACGACGTATGGCCTTGATACGTCTTTTCTATATTGAAGTAGACAGCACTCACCAATTTGACAGCTTTGGTTAATTCTTGAAGTATTCTTCCCTTGGACAGTACCTTATCGGTACAAAGGTCCATATCTTCTTGACTCGGCATATCGATCTCTAATCTTACATGATTCTCATCATAAGGTAACACGAATTTCAAAGGAAAAGAAAGAAAAAGTCGAAGTCAAGGAAGACGAAACGGCTTCGACGCGACGTTGGTGAAGTCGCACTGACACATTCGCCGGGTAGAGTCATTGATTTTAGCTAAGCGCAGGCCAGGCGCCAATATCAAACTTCTCTTTATAATTGTCTTTCTTTTATTTTTTTTTATTATTTACGATACCCGTCTTGGATTTGTATTAACTATCAAGCCGATTAGAGATAATAGAATTTAAACATTCATTTGGATAAACATTCATAACAAGTAACATATACATTCTCATATACAATTCTTTGTTGTATATTTCGATAAAATATTATTTAATCAAGATCAGAATTCTATTCATTTACATTAAATTATTATTCATTAATGATATAAATTATAATTTTATATATAATTAATTTTAAACCAAAAAAATTATTACTATATCAAGAAATTCATATTTATGAAATATATATACGCGACAATTTATTATAATAATTCATTATAGAAAATATGAAAAAAATAAATGATATTATTAATTAAAAATATTTTAATATTAAAAATTTTTTAAAAGCAAAAAGATTGATTAAATTTTTTTATCAAATTTAATAATAAATTATTTTTTAATCTTTTTTTATAATTAATATTAAAATGTTATATGTAGTCTGATTTTTGTTAATATTTTAAATATTCTAAAATAATTTAATAATAATTGTCATATAACTTATCTATATAAGTTATCTATGTTATGTATTTCACTTAAATAGTAGATAATTTATTGTGCACGTAAATAAAACATTTTTCTGAATGATAAATAGTATGATTTTAATGGATCAATGAAATTTGTCATGGTAGGTTAAAGGGTATATGCATAACATGCATAATTATCATTTTCTTATATTATAAGCTTTTTTAAAATATATTGTACATTTTGAATTGCCTGTTGTCGATTTATGCTATTTTTAAATTTGACGTATCGACAATTTTTTTAAAAAGAAAGATGTTAATAACATCTATCAAATGCATAATTATTTAAAAAGAATAATTGAAATATATGATAAATAAATTATGAAATGATTGCATTAGTTATATTAATAATTACATCATTTATTTAATATGTAATCTAAAATTATAAAATTTCAATCTTTATTTTAAAAAAGCTATGCTTTTCATAAATAATTTCTAATAATTTTCAAATTGGAAATAAATTTTAAGATAAATTCAAAAACAATTTATAACATGAGAAAACTTCTTACTTATTTTATTAAAAATTATTACTTATTATTTTATTTTAAAAAATAAACTTTATTTTTATATATACAATATATTCTCATATAATGTATAAAAAAAGATATGTAAAAATGTAGTATAATATAAGATATTATAGAATGATAACTTTTTTTTATTTTTTCGTATTTACATTACATATATGTATACATATATAATATAGATGAAAACATAAAAAGTAATATCTAATATGATCAACAGTTATTAAGTAAGGAAATTTACTCTATAAGAAGTGGAATTTATTATCAATAAAATTTTCTTAGTCTTGTTAATAAAATAATTATATATATGAATTTTAATATTTTATTATTTATATTTTTTTATTATATTATTTATATCATATATGAAAATATAAAAAATATATTATTTTATTAAAATTTACTTATATTCATATATATATATATATATATATATATATATATATATATATATAT